GCTCTGAAGAACGACCTCAACACCGCCCGACACATCAACTCTGAACTGAAAATCATTAAGGTAAAATGTCATTTCATTATGAACACCTTTGACAGAACCTTTTGAAACCAAGACACTCGATATTGTGACGACAAAAACAGGACATATTCCATTCTCAGGTTTTAAGAGCGGAGTTAGAGGGACAGGTGCTGAAAATTCTACCAGACATGACGTACATTTTCTCTTAGCTAGAAATTAAGCAGACATTATCTTATGTTTTATTTTTCCTATTTTTTAGTTTTTCATCCCTGCTCATAACATAGGATTTATCAAGTTTTATTGAAAAGTTTAGATATAAAGTATGGATACTTTTTAATGGAAAATAGAGGTTGAAGAATGCATAACAACAATATCTTGAATTTAGAGTTACTTTACGACATAAATCTTTTATTTGTTTGCCAAAGTGGAATTAATGCACATTCTTTTTTTTACATATATATCTAATCTACTCCTAAACTAACACCTAATTCCACTTATGTTTATGACGGGACTTGAACCCTCAACCTCAAAGAGGGAGGGCACCACCTGATACCGCTGGGCTAGAAGTCTTTTGATTAATGCGCATTCTCTTGGGTGAAGATTGATGGGCAATATACTATTTGTGAATAACCATGGTATATAATAGAGTAGACTATATTTTGGTTACGATTTTTCAAATGGGGAAAGAGTTGGGGGAAGGGGTAGGACAAATTAGTTGGGGGGGGGGTGGTAAGGATGATGCTTCTACTACTTAAAAATTAAAATTTTAATGCTTTAAATGGTTTTGAATTATTAAAGTTTCATAATAAAATAAAGATATTAGCACCTATATTTTCCTAGGCAGAGATTTTCTCAACATAAAATTTTCGAGCAAAAAATGCCACTTCAATAATTCTTATTTTTGAAGTGGGTTCATCCATTGTTTTTGGAATTATAATTTATAAGGTTCTACTGAGGTAAGGATTATGTTTCTTGTTTTCATTCTTTGTAATACAAATACAAAATACAAGAGTGTTTTTATTGATCCAACATTTGTATTTACCTAAAGGTTATGTAGGAAAATTATGCTCTTATATAAGTGTACTGGTCACTTCCTCCTTCAAAATAAAAGGGCTAACTAATTTTTTCCTTTCCCAATTAACATGAAAATCTTCAGTTCCTTCAAAGTTAGCTTAATCTTTAGACAAATCCATACAAGCTTCAAATGATACCTTATTTTAGCAATTAATGTATAATGTCTTAGGAGCAAATTTTTGTGCGAATTTTATCCTTATCAAGAAAAGTGTTGCTATTGGATTTTGATTCTTAACATTAGTTTCAATCTCTTCCAGTTTAAATTTGGTTGATACTTTGGAACTTGTATCTTTAAAACTATGATCCTTGCTTCTGTTTTTGGTAATCAAACATCAAAGCATTTCAACCACAACTTCTTCCTAACGTTTTGGGTTTTGTGCTATGACAACAGAGAAGGTTTTTGGATGAAGCTTAAGGATTTGAAGGTGAGTAATCAGTTTAGGAAATGGAGCACCCACTTACTTCACCATTCCTAATCATAAGGTTACTAGCACTACAAGAAGATTGGACAATAGCAGCGACACGTGTAGCCGCTAAAGGGTAGGCTTGTCGCCGCTAATACCCTTAGCGACGACATGTCGCTGCAAATGCATCGTCGGTATTGTTTCGTCGCTAATACGCTGAATGTCGCCGCTAATACTCATGGTCGCCGCTAATACAACGCGTCGCCGCTAATAGTGTGTCGCCGCTAACAACATAGTGTCGCCACAAAAGCTGTCGCCTCTAATACTCTTTTGATTATTTTTTTTTATTTAACATTAAATTTATAATCAATCCAACTATTAATCCATATAGCATTTGAGAAATCTGATAAGTTTTTATAGAAATATTAATACATATTATACAATCAATCCAAAATATTAATCCATACCACATTAAGTATTCTTCTAAATTACAAAACGTTTCATAAAATCCTAAAATAACTACTCGTCCTCATCATCATCTCCTTCATTATTTGGTGACGGCAATGAGCGAAACCACTCTTCCAATGCTGCAGAACAGGCCGGGTCCTGTAGTATTGTTTGGAGCATTTGAAACTATAAGGAAAACAAAATATATTAAAAACATATCAGAATAACATTATAATTAATTATACCATTCTACAAAATATCAACATATCAAATACACTTAAACATACATCTACTTTCCATTATAGCATTGTACTTTCCAAAAATTACCAAACTACAAAATATCAACATATCATACCATAACCAACATATCATTATACCATTCTACTTTCCATTATAGCGTTGTACTTTCAAAAAATTACCAAACTACAATATATCAACATATCAAACCATAACCAACATATCATTATACCATTCTACTTTCCATTATAGCATTGTACTTTCCAAAAATTACCAAACTACAAAATATCAACATATCAAACCATAACCAACATATCATTATGCCATTCTACTTTCCATTATAGCATTCTACTTTCCAAAAATTACCAAACTACAAAATATCAACATATCAAACCATAACCAACATATCATTATACCATTCTACTTTCCATTATAGCATTACTTTCCAAAAATTACCAAACTACAAAATATCAACATATCAAATCATAACCAACATATCATTATAGCATTCTACTCACTACTAGAAAAAAGGCCTTTTACGACGCTCATTGCACGTCATAAAACGCTCAGACGACGCGCAAATGCGCGTCAAGGAAGGCCCTGTCATAAAGAGAGACGACGCGCATTTACGATGCGCATTTATGACGCGCATTTACGACGCGCGGTTATGACACACAATGCGTATCAAGGAAGGCCCTGTCATAAAGGAAGATGACACACATTTGCGTGTCGTAACCTTACGACGCGCGTGTTTATGACACGCAATGCGTATCAAGGAAGCCCCAGCCAAGAAAGTCCATGTCATAAATGAAGACGACACACATTTTTCCGTATCGTAATTAATTTTTTTTTTAAATATATTTATTTATTTATTAATTTATAAATTAAATTTGCATTTAATTTCTCATAATACAAAAAATACAATAAATTGCACAAAAGTTAATTTCATACAAATAGTCATTCCAATAGCAGACAAATGTAATACATTAAATAATCATTCCAATAGTAGACAAATGTAACATTTCAACATTTTTTATATAATTTACTAAATTATTAGCCAAATTTCCTAAACTACCAACATACTTTCTATGAAGAGCATTAACACTATTCTTTTCCATCAAAAAATTCAAAACCTGCATAATTTAATTAATGTTTAATCAGCTATAGGTCAATAAGGTAGGTTTAAGCAAAAGATTTTCATAATAGTAAGATTTTACTTACCACTGTTGTTAATGACATTGAAAGAAGCAGCCTAACAAAGACCCCCTCAGAAGGATTACTACCACATAACTGTTGATATTTGATACGTTATTATTAAATGAAACCAAAAACAAAGTTAAAAAGTAAACAAAATCAGAAGGTTTTAGTCAAACTTACAGAGGCTGTAATTTTAAATATTACTAAATGACATTGATTGAATCACCTGCAGATTTACCATTTTGTCCCTATGAGATTCACTACCGGGGTGAAGGAATGTGACCCTGTTCCAATTTGTTCCACAAATGGCAGAAAAAAATAGTTTTTTTTTACCGTATTGAATTTAGAAAACTTACCTCAATGCTTATTGCTTTCATCTATTGTAACAAAAATTTAAAAATTCACCAGTTCAATGCCTTCATCTATTGTAGCCTTCCAACATTGCAGGGACAAAGTTGGAAACTTTTTTATCTCTAGTTGCCTTGTATGGTTGAATATTCAAAGGTAATCCACTTCTATAACAAGAAATAAGTTCATGTTAACTTTTCATAAATAATTAGTAAATATTAGTTTATGGTTGTACACATATCAGATCCATCAAGTACAAAGGCTCTCTTTGATGCAACTTTTGTGATAAAATAGATGATCAGTACTAACAAATAGAAAAAACAAATATGCAAATATATATTACCAAGCAAAGAGATGAACCGAATTGGTAAGTGTATCACAGGGAGCTGCGTTGGATCAAAACGAAGAGATGGATTCTTCAGTCGTTGAAGAGGTGAACTCAAATCAGAGATGGATTCTATCCAATCCCATATCAGGAACAAGTTCATTAAAATTATTTGCAATCCCATCACTACCCTTGTAACAGCCCAAACCTGCAAAAACAAACACACCCACTAAGCAAAATAGAATGATGCAAAAAAGTTTGAAGCAGTTCAATCCTAATCAAAAGATACTTTTGGCTTCTTCTGTCTACCACCATCTCTGGAATCGGAATTATCAAATCCTTTGTTCAATCCAATTTATTTTCATTTTCTTTCACTATCTGTTCATCATAATCATTCATATATATCAATTTATAAGCAATAGGGACTTCAAGATACAAGCAAACTAGTTTCTAGAAGCTTTTTCAAATTAACACATTACCTGAACAATAGAGCTTGTTTCCAGACCTTTTCTAACAATGAAGTCATCACCAACAATCTACCACAGGTTATGATCATCTTCCCCACTTGTTCGCCCCAACAAAATATACACTATTTCGCCCATACTCCCACACAATGGTCTCCAACCTTCCCCTAGTGTGACAGCAGATGGTGGAGTTTTGAAGTTTGAAATGGATGACTTGATTTGCCCCATGTACTCATTGTGAAACAATATTTTATGAGGTGTTTTAGGTTTACGTGAGGTGGATATTGGGTTAATGATCATCAACTCGTGGTGGAGTTTCTAGCTCTTTAATCATGAGTTGGACATCCTGGACTAATCTTGGATATTGCTTGTTCTACATATACAATGGTTAATATTGGGTTACTCATCATCAAATCCAAATAAATAGATTGTCAGAGAGCACATAAATTAAATATAATATGGCACACATACTAAACATGCCAATATTCATGTAAGCTTCACCGAATGATCCTCTTCACCTGTGTTAATATCAACGAGGGTTGGATAAATTATCGACCATGGAGATTGTTTTGCCAGCATGACCAAAATGCCCTCGTGCTGTTTCCTAACATCTTCTTCAGCATGATAGCTTAACCGAGAAAAAATCGTTGAGGAGTTACTTCCTACAAAAAGGGAAAAAAATACTGGTTAGAACAGAACTGGTTAGGTTACTGTTATATAAAAATAGCAAAAGGGGTCCCACCTACCTGCCATGCCAACAAAGGAACCGTTGAAAGTGTAGGTTCAAGGGGAGCTTTTAACTCCACCCCATAGTTTAAGATAATATGCAGGACATGAGGTGTAGCTTTCAAGGTATAACTATAATTCTTTTGACCTTCTGTTTGACTACCCCATAACTTGGAAGATGAATGTGAAATGTAATTTATATAAGCTTGAGCTACATGCCCAAATAGAGATACCCTTGTCTTTCTCAAACACCACCAAACATCAATCAACTTGTTAAAAACACACTTTCCTCAACATCAATATTGGCAAAAAGAAAGAGTTTCTGCAACTTGGAAGCAATAACAACAAAAAGGCATTCAAGTTCTCCAGCTGCAACTTCTATTATATTCACTACTCGCTACACCACTGCATGAACATTGTTATTATCTAAGTCTTTAACTTATGTTTCTTTCCGAAGAAGCTCTGAAACAACATGTTTGACTCTTGAGACCTCTTCTTCAGTTAACCTAAACCTATCTGGTACAAGTTCTGAATCAAGAATTGGAGAAAACGAGCAGGATTTACATACAAATGTGCTAAAAAAGAATATATACACAAGAAAATTAGTTAATTTATAAACTCAGCCTTATTTAATTCAAGAAAAACAAAGAAACTTACTCATACAGCTTCAAAATGATTTTCAAGCATACCCAGTTCCTCCTCGTGCTTTGATTCCCACCCTCAGTGCTAGCTCAAACATCCGATTTCTGATTCAAATTAAAAAAAAATCAAAATATTATAAAAAGAAAAAGATGAGAAGGCGTTGGATTTACTGTAGTTTCTGCCTTGGTTAGAAGTACTGGTAACATAATCGAGACCCAAAAGACATCAGCATCAGAACTAAAAGACATTAGTACGATCGAGAAAACCCTTTTCCTAATTCTAGGGCTTCACATTATCAAAGGATCCTTGACCAAATAACAAAGAAATGAATTCTAAAATCAAGCATGTAATAAAAAAGATAGAAAAGGGGAATCAGGTTCACATACGGCGGAAGAATGACCGGTGGCTCCAAGGGTACAATCGACAAATCTGAAGTTTACGAGAATCAATAACCTCCAATACCTCACCGAGCATCACCGGAATATGACTCTCGGTGTTACCAAATTGACAAAAGCTCTCCTCATCGAACTTTTTATCTGATCGAGTCCTCCTCTTCACTACAAAATCTATTAGAACTCGACGACTATTAGCAATAATGAAATTATCTTTTCAGTTTAGCTTTTTCTTGTTACGAGTAGAAGCAGATAATGTAACACTGTAAATTCAAAACAAATTTTTTGAAATTTTCGTAAAACATAATTCAATTAATATTCATAAAACAACCATATTAATTATCCAACTCATGTCATTACAAAACCCCAAGATCACAAATGTATAAACTCTGTGTGTGTGTACGGATCAAGACGGCGCCTTCCCGCGGTCGTCACTAGTACCTGAAACTATAACATCAAACACTGTAAGCACAAAGCTTAGTGAGTTCCCCAAAATACCACATATAAAACATATTAGCCACTCGAGGCTATAACTCAGTGGGTCCGTGCACTCAAACTCTGTGAACCCTCAGGTTCTAACTCTGTAAACATGCACATCATAAATCACATAGAAATAATGCAGTACAACACATCACATACATAGCATACAAATACTCTATCACATAACCCTGGTTACCTACTCAAGGTAAAGTATAATGAGAAGACTCACCTCGCGTATCTCGGTATCTCACGAATCATGGTAATCCCTCGTGCTTGATCCTCCGAGCTCTAATCCTCCTATAACATCATATTTCTCTGATTGACACTTTATATCCCTAAGGTTGACTATCCCTAAGAAGTCAACAAAGGTCAACGGTCAACGGTCAATGGTCAACTTTGACCGGACTCGGCGAGTGCGCTATGGCGGCTCGGCGAGTCTAGACGTTTTCACCAACTCTCTAGGATTCCCTTCCTACACGTCGAGTACTCCCCCTGACTCGACAAGTTCTTTCCTAGAAGAATCGCGGGGCCACCCCGACTCAACTCGCCGAGTCTCAAGAACAACTCGGCGAGTCCCAGTCCGACTCAGTTCACCTGTCGACCCTCTCTAACTCACCCTGACTCACTGAGCCAACCTATGACTCGACTGGACCACTCACTGAGCAAACTCAAGGCAATCTTCAAACTACTCGCCGAGTTTGTTCATCGGACTCGGCGAGTCCATGCCATGCAACCACTCGAACTTGCTTCTAAGGTCAGATCTGCTTCCACAATCCATAGATCTGGCCTCCCTAGACTGATTCATCACGTAAAGCCCCAAGCTTGGTGTCCATAACACACCCCATGGCTCATAAAAAGAATTTTGACCTAAGGCATAAGGATTCCAATCCAAAACCTCCATTGATTCCCAAAAAGCTTGGGCAAAGGGACACTCTGGACCTCCAAGGGTCCAGATCTATGGTTTAAACCACTTAAGGGACCAAGGGAGCACTAGATCTAGCCACAAGAGGGTTCAACAAACCCTAAATCAAAATAAACATCAACATGGAAGAGGATAGCTCGAAATTACTACCACAATAGTGATGCTCTGGACTCCAAACTCTTAGAAAATGGCTCCACTTGCTTTCCCCTAGTTGGTTCTCCCTTTCCTTGCAAAACTAACACCTCCAAGATCAATAATGGCCTCCTACTTTGCTCCAAACACTCACACTCGATTAGGGTTTCACTCAAGGGACTGGTGAGCACAAATGACGGCCATAAGGCCCTTTAAATAGGTCCCAAACCCGAGAAATTAGGGTTCATTACACAACGCGGACTCGCCGAGTCCAGGCGCGATCCCACGACCAGATCCGCGATCCTACTCGGCGAGTCTGAGCTCCAACTCGCCGAGTCCCCTCTCAGAACACCAAAATCATAAACATAAAAAGATACCTAGAAATCCGACTGTTACATATAAGGTAGTGGAATAACTAGCAACTGCGAGAAGGGAAGAGGAAATTTGACGGTGGTAGTAATGCAACGACGATAAGGTGAATGAAGGATGAAATAACAGTTGCTTAAGGCGATAAGCTGAATACATATGCAAGGTTTTGACTCTCGATTCACTATAGGGAATGAACCAAACAAGAGCCATCAAATAACCCTAGGAGTGAAATTAAAGAATCTGTGAAGATTTTAGTTGTGCGAGAAAAGAGAGTGGTGAAGATATTAGGGTTTTTTTTGGGTATTGATCAGTGAGAGAGAATAGCGATGGAAACAAGGTAGAGGATAAAATGGCGGACTTTCAAACTTTTGTGATTTTCATTTCCCCCCAAGTTGCAAAAGAAGAAAACGCGTGTTCATTAAATAAAATATAAAGCGACATCTCTACACGACACCCATATTAACATAGGTGCCCTCCGTGTTTTTTATTTTTTTTTATTGGACATTAATTTTAGAGCACCCAAAAAATGTGTGACCTCTATCTTTCATTATTTTTAAAAACGGACGTTATTTTTAGGATGCCCACAAATGCGTATCGTAAATCACTGCGTGTCATGTTTGCGCGTCATTAAAGACCAGTTTTCTAGTAGTGACTTTCCATTATAGCATTTACTAACAATTACTTGTGATTGTGGTTGTTCTTGTGTCATTGGTTGTTGCTGATCATACATAGACACAACGGTAGGGGGTTTACGCCCAATGCCTCTGATATATCCACTTCGAACACCCAATATTCTTTCAAAACAATCTTTTATATCAGTTGGTGCTAGACCGCTTGCCTCAGAAGTAGCTTGGGTTCGTTTGTTTATCTCTTCGAGTAAAGCATTCTGTATTTTTTAAAAATAATAAAAATCATAAAAATTAGATTACTAAATACCTTTGACGATATAAACACTTATATGAAAAATACAGATTAACCACTTACGTATTGTTGCTAGACTGCAGGGCTATAAAATACCTCGTGGCGATTGGAATCAGCTTTACGAAAAGCTTCGATTTGACTGATATCCTATTTAATATTAAAATTTAGATTAGTTATACTTTAAATAAATATTTAAATATATCATAACTTACTTTTTTGAAACATGCATTGTTCTATGAGCTCGACCCCCCTCTGTTTACAACTACTTGTTTTGCACGACATTCCTTGTTTGACGCCGAACGCCTTAAATATTCTGGCGTTTGAAAATGTTCGACTGCCTTCGCCCAATTTTCATGTGACATTTCGTTAGGGGGGTTGTTTAATGCGGCTTGGATATCTGCAGGCCCCCCGATTTCCTTAAAATAAGCATGAGCTTTACTTTTTCGGCCTCTGTAAACTTTTGCAAGACTCAAATCAATGCTCCGCAACAATTGAGAACGCTCCATGTTAACCTTATCCAAATCAAATTTATTCTGCAAAACACAAAAAATTTAGTTAATTAATTAACAATCACAACTAAACTTAAAATTGTATCCAAGTTACATTTAGATGTACAATTGTTGCGTTCCTTAAGGTGGGGGAAACATTATCCCAACCAGATACGTTGAAAGAGACATTCTTCCACAAATACCTCCCAATTTCATGTGTGAACCAATTACCACGCTTCCCGACAGGGGAATATGTGATCTCCCTGTTGAAATCCAAATCTACGGGCTTTCCCTTATTTGCCCTTATCAACTCTCCCAACTCGATATTTTTTGACATGCCCCTTCTTTTTTTTTTTTGGAAGCTCGGCTGAAAAATACAATTAAACATATTAGTCACGATAACTTATTGTAAAATAATAAAAATAGTTAATAAATATATTATAATAAAACTAACCATCACGTTCGTGCTGAGCACGACCAAAGCCTCCTGGAGGTGGTGGATCCCCGGCACCATCACCTCCATGTCCAAGCCCCATAACATCGGCCATCATGGCCAAGAGTATTGCCCAAGTAAACCTTATCCGCAACCTGTAATTACAAGATGTAAAATATAGAAATACAATATGAATAAAAGTTAGTTACCCTACGAAATTGTAAGATATACAATATAGACAAACAACATAAATAAAAGTTAGGCAAACAATATGAATTAAAGGTACATTTCAAATAAAGCTTCTATTAGAAAAAAAATGATTTTTAATCAGAATCTTCATCATATACTTCAATGTCTTCTTTATACGTATCATAATCAGAATCGCCATCATCATAATCAGTCTCTTCATCGGAAACATTATCGATTCTACCCGTTGGCGGAGGTAGTTCAGTCTCGTCTTCATCGTCATAATCAGCATTGTTTTGAGCTACGTCAACATTGTTTTGAAAGTATTGTGAGGAGTCGATAAAAAGTCTAGCTCCAGATGAAGAGTTGTTTTGAACTATATCAACATTTTCTGCATCCACATTGTCGACATATTGGACAGAGTCACTGTAAGCATTTTGGACGCGAGGATTGTCGGATGGTAGATCCCAAATATTTCGATGATTAACATGCTCGACGACACAACGAGGGTTGTTGTTTTGGTTTCTTCGATGATTAACAGGCCCGCGGATGTAGAACAGTTGTTTGGCTTGCGAAGCATATATGAGTTGATCATCTTGGTATGCTTCTTTTTCTGTGTCGATACTTATGAAATTATCATTAGGAATATCTCCCGTATCAAACCACTTGCACCGAAATATTACAGTCGAATAATCATATGGATATTGCACCTCCATAATCTCCTCTAACTGGCCATAATATTTCTCTCCATTCTCACCAACCGCTAGAACCCCA